ATATATATATATATGAGGAGGGTTATAATAACACTGGTATAATTACTTTTACTATTACACTGCTCAATAACTTTATATTAAATTAGAATTTTGTAAATCCAACCATTAAATTGAAAATTCTTTACACTTAAATCACATATACAAAATTTTATATTAATCAAAGATGAATTGATACTTCATTCTTATAAAAATAAAATTAACGTAATACATACATTTCAAAATATACTAAAATATGAACATTTTGATTACCTTCACGATCACTAGTGGAAAAAAGACTTTAAAAATCAGTTATTTTTAAGTTTTAAAATTGGTTCCTTTACGTCAGACCCTAACAGATCCGACGTAAAAAAGTTCGCAAAAATTACAAAAATGCCACCGCATTTTTTTTACGTCGGATTTTCGTATTCTCGATGTAAAAGGGGTGACGTAATATACTAATTTTCCACTAGTGGCACCATCTCTATTCGTGATCTCCGTGGAAGGTCTTAGATTGTTGATGACTAGGGCTTTAGATTTGAATTTGTTTACGGGATTACACTTGGGTGGTGAGGGTCCGATGATTTCTCTATTACAGTTCGTGGATGATACTTTTTTATTATTGGAGAAGCTACTAGGCAAAATTTGTGGTGTTTAAAGGTCGTCTTGCGCTGTTTTGAGTTAATTTCAGGTATGAAAATAAATTTTCACAAGAGCTGCGTGGTTGGTATCCATTCAGGGCCAAATTTCATTGATTTGGCAGCTGCTTTTTTACATTGTAAGGTGGGTCAACTACCGTTTAAGCATTTGGGCTTACCTCTTGGTGCAAATCCTAGGAGGTTGTCTACTTGGAAACCAATACTTGATGGATTACGAAAGCGTCTATCCTCTAAGCATAGGCATTTGTCCATTGGGGGGAGGGTGACCTTAATTAATTCGATTCTGAATGCTATGCCCATCCATTTTCTGTCATTTTATAAAGCACCGAACTCAATGATTAAAGAAATTGTATCCATCCAACATAATTTTTTGTGGAGAGGTGTCAAGGATGGCTCAAAGATTCCTTGGGTAAAATGGAGAATGGTGTGTAAGTCTAAGGTTGAGGGTGGACTAGGAATCAAGGATTTAAGATTGTTCAATTAGGCACTACTAGGAAAATGGGTGTGGAGGAGCATGCTTTCTCCGGGGATGTTGTGGGCTAAAGTTCTTCAAAGTAGGTATGGGCGCATTGAGTCCTTTTCTAATTGCTCTAATATGTGGACAGGAGGGCTTCTTGGTGGTGGAAAGATATAGTGTGTGTGCTACAACAAGGAAATTTTTTGTTAGATGAAAATATTGATCGTTGTATTAGTGATGGCACTATGACCCGGTTTTGGGAGGATAAGTGGTTAGGTGGTTTGCGCTTGTTGGATGTCTTCCCTCATTTGTACTCCTTTGCCAGTGATCCTTTGTTAATGATGGCACATAATGGAACTTGGGAGGGATCTAGGTGGGTGTGGCAGGTTAAGTGGAGAAGAGAACCTTTTATCCATGAAGTTAGTAGCGGGAATACCTTGTTGGATATGCTTCAAGGTTTGCAGATTTTCCCTTCTAAGCAAGATTATTGGAGATAGATTTGTGATAAGTACCTTTGGCTGCAGCGCTTGTTGGGTGGAGAATCTACATATTCTTCAGATTTTCAACAAATTATAAAAAGTCTTTAGAAAAGCAAGGCTCCGATCAAGTGCTTGGTGTTTTGTTGGCAGGTGTTTTTGAATGCGTTTCCCTGCAAATCATTGTTACAAGTACGTGGTGTGGTGTTGGATAACAATTTATGTTCTTTTTGTTCTATATTTGTTGAAAACCCATTTTTTCTTTTTTTAATGTGCCCTATAGCTTTTAATACTTGGTTAGTTGTGGCCAATTGGTTGGAGGTGGCGGTAGTCCTTCCTAGTTCTTTAACTTCTCTTTATTTATATTGGTCAAATCTTGGTATTTATAAAAAACGTTCTCAGTGTTTTCTAGTAGCTAGTTTGAGTTTTTGTTATCTGGTCACTATGGCTTCATCGAAATGTGATCACATTTTAGCAAGGTGTTATGGATTGTAAAGAAGTGTTGGACAACATTAAACTGCGTTCTTGAAAGTGGATAACTAGTTCTGTCCCTGGATTGTCTTTTAGTTACATTAACTGGTATCATAACCCGAATTTATGTTTCTCATAATCTCGACTTTATTTTTATTTATAATTATGTTTTTTTGTTCCTTGTAATGGATTGGAGTACCTCTTGTACTCCCTTTTAATTTAAATTCCTCTTGCTTATAAATAAAAAAGAAAATATATATACTTTAAATAAGTGGAAACAGTTTATTAAATATCTTACATAAATATTACATGAAAGACATAAATTTTTCCTGTTAATTTATTTATTTATTTATTTATTATTATTATTATTATTATTATTATTATTTTATTATTATTATTATTAGTATTTGTATTATTTTTAGTATTATTATATCT